AATGGTCTCCCTGGGGGATCAAAGCCCTCAGTCTGTGCCCTCTCTTTCTTCCCAATTCTTTCTGACACCAGATCTAACTGTGCCCTTCCTGCTCACACACCTGCCTTGGCTCCCTATTTCCCTCCAACCCCGAAACTGATTTTCAGGGGTCCAGTGGTGTGGCCAAGATGAAGCCACCAGAGTACATGGATAATAATGATATGTTTTAGGTCCCATTTACAACCCTGAGCCCAGCCCTCGTACCCTTAGATCCCACAGCCGCACAGGGAAGGGGTCTTAAGTCAGACAAAGCAAGGTCAGTCTCCTGGTCTCCAGCTCTGGCTGACTCCAGAAGGAGAAGCCACTTCCTGCCCACTTCTGGATTGATGCCACAGTTGGGGGTGGGGGTGGTTCCGGACGCACCCTTAACCTCTCCAGCTCTGAGTGAGCGCTTAGCCGGAGGCAACGGGGTGGGCAAGTTGGGGCGACCCCTGGTGGCTGTCAGCGGAACTAAGCGGTTAGACCTTCCTCCCCTCAGCCTCACTTCCTCCTTGGGAGTTGGCCTTCCAGTTCCCCCTTCAGGTCCTCCCAGGTAAAGGCCCTGATCTGGTACCTCCAAGCCCGGGGGTGGTAGTGGGGATGATGAACAGGACTGGATGAGGTGGGGGAAAGAGTTCCAAGGGTTTCCACCCCCTTAAATACCAGCTTCTTAGGAATTTTTAGAAACAAATTTTAATTAAAGGTAATACATGTGCATGATTTTATTTTTATTTATTTATTTATTTATTATTTATTTATTTATTTTTAAAGATTTTATTTATTTATTTGACAGAGAGAGACACAGCGAGAGAGGGAACACAAGCAGTGGGAGAGGGAGAGGGAGAAGCAGGCTTCCCGTGGAGCAGGGAGCCCGATGCGGGGCTTGATCCCAGGACGCTGGGATCATGACCTGAGCCGAAGGCAGACACTTAACGACTGAGCCACCCAGGCGCCCCCATGATTTTATTTTTTTAAAAGATTTTTAAATTTTTATTTATTTGACAGAGAGACAGAGAGAGAAGGAACACAAGCAGAGGGAGAGGGAGAGGGAGAAGCAGGCTTCCCGTGGAGCAGGGAGCCCGATGCGGGGCTTGATCCCAGGACGCTGGGATCATGACCTGAGCCGAAGGCAGACACTTAACGACTGAGCCACCCAGGCGCCCCCATGTGCATGATTTTAAATGCAAACTTTACAAAAAGGTATACAAACATGAAATGGCACCCCCCCTCCCCACTCTCAGCCCCCTAGTTCTTGCCCTAGAGGCCACAGCTGTGACCAGTGTTTCCTTCAGAGACATTTGGGTAAAAGTCTCTTCCATCCCTGCATTTTGGAAAATGCACACAAATTATCACTTTCCTGCTTTTTACATTAATGTTCTCAGAGGAATTTGCTTTGGCCCCTTTAACAGTCGTATGGGAATTTCCACCAGAGGGACAGATGGACACTCACTGAAACAGTCCCCAAGTGGAGGACATTGAGGTGGTTTCCAATTTTTTGTAATTACCAAGATGTGATAATAAATGTCCTCATTCTCTCCCCTCCCCTTACCCTTTGCCTCTTTTTTAGAAGTAAACTTTTTATTTTGGAATAATTGTAGATTTACAGAAAAGTTGCAGAGATAGTCCAGAGTCCCTGAATAGCCCTCCTCCAACTTCTTCCATGGTTAAGCTCTTTTACACCGTAGCTCACTTGTCAAAACTAAGAAACTAACTGTAGTACATGAAATTAATTATACTCTGGACTTTATGTGATCTTCTCACTAAGTGTTTTTCTGTTCCAGGATCCAACCCAGGGTTCTGCATTGCATTCGGTCCATTATTTTGTTTTGTTTCTTTTTTTTATTTTTTAAGATTTTATTTATTTATTTGACAGAGAGCAAGAGAAAGCACAAGCAGGGGGAGCAGCAGAGGGAGAGGGAGAAGCAGGCTCCCCACTGAGCAGGGAGCCCAATGAGAGGCTTGATCCCAGGACCCTGAGATCATGATCTGAGGTGAAAGCAGATGCTTAACCAACTGAGCCACTCAGGCATCCTTTTTTTTTTTTTTTTTTTTTTACAATTTTATTTATTTATTTTAGAGAGAGAGCAGGGGGAGGAGCAGAAAGGCACAAGCAGACTCTGTGCTGAGTGCAGAGCTCCACACAGGGCTCAATCTCATGACACTGAGATCATGACCTCAGTTGAAACCAAGAGTTTGACTCTTAACTGACTGAGCCACCCACATGCCCCTATTTATTTAGTTTTAAGTGGGCTCTGCCCCCCACGTGGATCTTGAACTTGCCACCTTCAGATCAAGAGTTGCATGCTCTACGGACTGAGCCAGCCAGGAGTCCCTGGTCCATCATTTTGTACACATGTAAATATGGTTATAGAAAAATTTCTAGAAGGGGAATTGATGGATCAAAGGATACATGCACTTTCAATTTTGAGAGGTTCTAGAAAATTGCCCTTCCAAGTGGTTGTACCAATGAGCAGTCTCACCAGCACCCTGTGGGATTATTTGTTTCTCCACAGCAATGCCAGCGTAGGGTACTTTGTGATTTTTTTGTTTGTTTGTTTTTATCTTTGCCAGACTCATGGGCACAAAGTGGTACCACATTGTTTCAATTTGCATTTCTTTTTGAGGCGTGAGGTTGGGCACTTTTTTCCCCTTACATTTCTATTAATTGACTGTCTATATTCTTTGCCCATTTTTTCTACTGAGCTGTTTTTGAAAAATTAATTTATAAGAGCTCTTTATGTCATAAGGAAATTAATTTATTCCTGGGTATAAATACCTATATGAAATAAATCTAGGAAAGTTTCAGTTAATTCTCTTGGGTTTTCTATATATAAAATCATACTGCCAGGAGATAATAATATTAGGTTGAATTGCTTCTGAGGCTTTCCTGCCCAAAATGCCAACCTGAAACTAATCTTACAGAAATAACACACAAACCCAGACTTGAACTCCAAAAAATGATTGCCTCAGGCCTCTAAAAAAATGCCATTGTTATGAAAGGCAAAGTCAGACTGAGAAATGTTCCAGATTAAAAGAGATGAAAAACTTGACAAATACAATGTGTGAGCCAGGATATTCTTTTGTTATAAAAGACATTATTAGAACAGTTGGCAAAGTCTGATTAAAGTCTGTAGATTAGATAATAGTGTTTTATCAATCAATGTCCACTTTCTGATGTTTGTAATTTACTGTGATTATGTGGGAGAATGTCCTTGTTTTTATAGGAAATGCATACTCAGGTGTTATGGGTAACAAGACATCATTTCTGCAAATTTTCATAAAAGGTTCAGAGAGAGAGAGAGAATAAAGCAAAGGTGGTAACATTTGTGGAATCTGGGGGAAGAGTATCCAGGAATTCTTTGTACTAATCTTCCAACTTTCCTGTAAGTCTGAAGTTATGTCAAATATAAGGTAAAAGACAAAATGAATGTGAAATTGAGCCATATGAAATTGTTGATATTTCTATTATTGTTTACCTATATAAACAGTGCTTACATATGATTCAAACTATAAATTCCCTACTGCTTTTCTAATATTCACACCTCTTCTTTCTTTTCCTTGTCTAAGTGCATTGGCTAGTACCTCCAGAACAATATTAAATACTTGACAGTGGTTATCCTCACCTTGGCACTCATTTTGATGGCCTTTTCAGAACTTTTCTCATTTGATCCATTAGTATGGTGAATTTTATTAGCAGATTTGTGAATATTGAACCATCCCTGCATCTCAGGCATAAGTCCCCTTTGTTGTGATGTATTTAAGAAATGTGTTGCTTAATTCCTTTTGCTAAAATTCCATTTGGGAGTTTCATACCCTCCTCATAGGAAGAGGGGTCTGTAGTTTTCCCATTGTGACATCTCAGTCAGTTGATAGGCTGGCTCACTAAACATGATTCCACTCAATTTACAGACAAGGTAAACTGGGGCCCAGAGAGGAGAATTGACCCTTCCAGGTCACTCTTGAGCTAGGGCTGGACCCTAAGTCTTCATGTCTGTGGGATGAAGCAACACTGTCATTAGAAGGGACTTAAGTCCCAAAACACTATCTCATTGTGTTACCAAATGGGCCTCAGTTTCCCCATCTGTGAAATAAGCACTAGATTGTTGGGGAGAGAGGGTCGAGTCTCCTTCCTGTAGTTTCCGTTCAGAGTGGTTCTTGGGTCTAAAGCTGAGCGTTGATGGGTGTCGACGGGGCATCTCATCCAGCGTGGGCACCTCTATACATGTTCCAGCCACAGTGTGTGCCCTCCTGGCCTCAGAGCCCTCATCCTCCTGGGGTCTGACTCACCCTCGTGCGCGCCGCGCCGGCCTCCGGCAGCCCCCGGAGGGTCCTGGGCGAGAGCGCGAACGGGGGCTGGGTCGGGGTCGGGACACGGAGCGGAATCGGGGTTGCGGCACTCTGCGCTGGGGGCCCATCTCGGCTTCCAGGGCTTTACTGACAGAAGTGGGGAGAAGCCCATCAGCACCTGGACCCCTGTCCCCCTCCCCCCAGTACTCTTCCATCTTTCCTGAGAACCCCACTCCCCAGGATTCCCTATCCTTTCTCCACCCCCAGCCATTCCTGGGACTCCTCCCCAGGGACTCCCAGCTCCTTTTCCAGGAGCTCCACCTCCTCGCTCCCGTCCTCTCAATACCTTTTCCTTACATCATTTTCTTCCTATCCTCGCCCTTCCCAAAGGCCCTCCATGTAAGCCCGACCCCAGGGACAAATGCCTCCAGAGGGCCGGCCCCAAGTGGAGATTCTCACCTCCAGAGAGATTACATCCTTCACCACCCCTAGGTTCCAACTCTAGGATCCCCTCTTCGACTCTCCCATCACTCAACTCTCCAAGGCGCCTCCCACATGGCCACACCCCTTCTCCATCCCCAGGGACCCTTCCCCCTTCTTTCCCCTCCATGTGATGATTGGCCGAAAGAACGAAGTCTTGCGCAGCTATTGGCCACGCACCGCGCCCGTCCACCGCCCCGGGCCCCGCCCCTCACTCACGCGCGTTCGCGCAGCGCCGCCTCCCTGGCTGCGCAAGCTTCGGCTTCGGCCTCGGCCGCGCGTGCGCGCTGCTGTGCCTCGTCCAACCTCCGCGCAGACTTCGTGGCCGCCGCCTCCCAGCGCGCCAGGGCTTCTGCGGGCGCAGGGAGCGGGGTCAGCTCCGAGACCTCTCTCCGCTAATGCAGGCGTTCGAGTTTACAGTCTGCATACTATTTGCAGCTTTGCTTTATTTGAATTAAATTTGTGTGCTGTTTGCATGACCTTTACGTGTCATTTGCAGAGCTTTTTATAGGTTTGTATTGCTTTCGGGAGTCGTGTACGTGGCGTTTGCATATTTTGTTGTATTTGCGTTGTTTTTGTGACATTTGCGTGGCCTTTGAGTGTTATGTGCATTTCTTTCATAACTTTTCGCGTTTATTTGCGTGTTCTTTACGTTTGCACCCGTGCTTGCCATTTGCGTAACCAGGAACCTTTTAGGCTCCTCCCACCCCTATCCCTGGCCACGCCTTGCGCCCCAACACACCTGTGAGCGCCCCGTTCTCAGCCCCCATCTGGGTCCCCTGTGCCTTGGCCTCTTCAATCTCAGTCTTCAGGGTCATCAGTTGGGTCTGAAGCCGGCTCTGAGTAGTGGAGGGGAAGTGAGGAGGGTAGGGGGGTGGGAGGGGGCGGGGAGACAAGAAGTGAAGTCTCCCCTCTTTCTGGGGCAGACTGAACAGACACTGGTCACCGCGTTCCCTGAGCTTTATTTGGAATGTCCTTTGGGAGTCCTGTGGTTAGAAAACACAGAAGTGGCCTGCCGCACCGAGCGGTGACCGCTGCTCTGTCCAGGTCTACCGCCCCCCACCCCAAGCCACCGGATGTGGAAACGGTTTAGCTCTGCGGTCAGACTCCGGTTCCAATTCCAGCTTCTTCTAGACTCACTGACTAGGGTTTTAAACCAATACAGGCCAGTTTGGTGGTTGACAATGATTGGGTTTCTGGAGTACGCTCCCTCAGCTACGGGTGACATTCTTCAAAACAACTGGCCTGGCTTCCTCAGAACATCTCCCACTGAGTGGTGGAGTCAGAATTTGAACCCAGAACAGGCTGCTCTTAACCTCAGTGGCCTCAGGCCCTTCTCGTAGGCAGGCAGGTAAAGGGTAGAGGTCTGTTTTGATTTCTAAAATTCACACACCGCTCAACCCCTGCTGGGCTTCGTACACAGAGATACAGAATAGTTAGTAAATGGAAGATTGGGACTTTGAGGATGGTTGTTTTGCAAGGCCCAGGGCTGGGAAGGGTTAAGAAAGAGTTTGAAGGGGTGGCCAGAGGAAAAGGGAGGACCTGGCCAGTACCTCCCCCAAGAGGCCAACTTTAGCTTCCTAATTACAGGTGACATGAATGTCCCTCTCTCGAAATAGGGCTGCTGGAGCTGGCTGGGGGAGGTTGAGTGGGCACCCAGGGGGAGGGCTAGCACAGGGGCTCCCCAGCTGGGCTCAGGGGCTTGGGGCTTCCCTAGCCCTCACCAGCTATTAGGCAGATAGCAGAGAACCGTGGGGGCCTTCTTCCTCAGAAGGTAGACTCCAGGGGGAGCTAGGGACTCCCAAAGTACCCATCTGCATGGAAGGGACTATGGTGCTATTCTCATTTGCTCCCCTCAGTTAAAGAATTAGGGAAACCAGTGCACAGGCGGGCCACCGTGGGGATGTGTGTGCATGTCCTCTCCCAATTCTGGATTCCCCAGCCCACCACCCTGACCACCTACCTGGCGGCCCTGACAGGCCCTCAGTGCCTCCTCCAGCTCCCGACCGACTCGGTTGACCTGGTCTAGCTGTCTGGCCAGAGCCTCCTCGTGCTGGGTCGCCTCTGCCAGCCGTCGCCGCAGTTCCTCGAGCTCAGGCGCCAGGTCCACGGGGGGCGCCGTGGCGTTGGCCCCTGGCTGTGGGCAGCGAGGTCCCCGGGAGGTCGAGGAGGCCAGATTCCAGGCCAGCAGGGCCGCCCCGGCTGCCGCGGCTGCCAGGAACACCGCTGCCCCGCACAGGGCCAGCACCCGCCACGCGCGGCCCGGCTCTGGCCCCAGCTCGGCCATGCCGCTGTCCACAGCTCTGGCCCCAGACAGCCACGAGCATTTAATTGGCACCTTGGGGCGCCAGGGACGCCCACGGTTCCGCCCCTCCCGGCCGTGGCTTCCCGAGTCCGTTGGGAGGGGCTGGGCCCTGGCCAGGGGCCAGCCTAGGCTACCGGAGCCCGGGACAGGATTGGGGGTCCTGGGTTCCGGTCCTGCCTCTGCACCCCGTGTGCTGTCCTCCGAGCCTCAGAGTCTCCCCCACTGTGAAGGGGGGATGGCCCTAGCTCCTGCCCCACAGGACCGAGTGGGAACCATGTGAGCACATCCTCCCAAGGTACCCATCTGCATTGGGGGTACTCGGCAAGGCTCCCCATTCTGTTCATGGAAAAATTGAGGCTAAAAGACGGGAGGCTACCCGACCGACTGAGGTCGGCCTGGTTCAGGCTGCCAGGCTTTCTGTGACTGGCTGAGAGGGTCAGGGGGCAGACGCCCCGAGGGGAGCGGTCCCATCTCCCTGCCCGATCTCCACGAGGCCGCCAGGGGGCGAACTTACATCGCGAATCAGATCCAGGTCGGTCTACGGCTAGCGATGACCCTTCCTCTCAGAAGCGAATCTCCCCCTCCTCCCCCTCCTCTTCCTCCTCTCGTTCTCCCCCTCTCCCCCCTCCCTTTCCTCCTCTCGTCCTCCCCTCCTCTCCCTCCTCCTCCACCTTCTCTTCCTCCTCCTCCTCCTCTTCATCTCCTCAGGGCCCTCCTCCATTTCCTTTTCCCCTTCTTCCACCTCTTCCTTCTCCCTGTGTCTCCCCTTTTCTTCTCCTTCCCCTCTGTCTCCCTCTCCTCATCCTTCCCCCTCCTCTTTCCCTTGCGTTAGGGTGACTCCGGGCTGGCCGCAAAGAGTAGAGCAACAAGCAGGACAGAGTTTAATCACTCTCCAAGGGGGGAGGGGGGCCAGACATCAAGAGAGATGTCGCCCTGAGTTTCTGTCAGGCTGGGCCTTTTAAGGGGTTTTAAGGATGTGGGAGGGTTGCAGCTGTGCCCACGGGGGAGGGTGTGTGAGGAGGGGGTCGACACTTGGCCCTGTAGAGCAGGAGGTGACAAGTTTCTGGGGGATGGGGTGGGGGGGAGGGCTCTGTCTGGGCTCATCTGGGATGTGGGTTGCAGTCTCGCTAGAGAAGAATATGTTTTGTCGTGGTGGTCTATTTTTGGGGAATGAGGGGCACCGTGATCTGGAAAAACAAAGAGTCAGGACCAAGTACAGACACCTGTGAATTTTGTCTGTAAGCTAGGCTGGGGAGGGCGCTTTGAATAGAACCCTTTCATTCCCTCCTCTCTTTATTTGAAATTATTCTTGATTTGGGAAAATGGGAGAAGGTCATCCTTCTGTAACTACTTCCCGCTGAGCAGGGTCACAGAGCTGTCCGCACCCAGAGGCAGGAGGGATGAGAGTGAGGGGGATGTTGGTGGCATCTTGCTTGCAGGGCAAGGGGGCCTGAGCATGAGTTTGCTGAGACCTCAGAGAGCTACCAAGGGTTGAGATTCTGTCCGGGATGAAGGAGATTCGATATTTTAAAATACATGGACCCCCAAATAAGGGCTAATCCGATAACCACCAAAGGTCCCAGGAATGGAATGAGCCATGAGAACCAAGACCAGATATCTAGTTTCCAGAAGAACCAATCAGCCCCCCCCCCCCGGTTTTTATATTGTTCCTCATTGTCCCTAGCTGAGTTGATAATTTTCTCAGGGCTGTCCAAGACCTGACCTGACTCATTTACATAGAAGCAGCATTCTTCCACAATAAGGTACGAGTAACCCCCTCATTAGCAGTCAATGGGTCTAAAACCAGAGGATTTTGAAGAACTGCTCTTCCCAGGGAATCAGACTGTCTCTGTGTTGCTTAGGGTGTGGAAGCCAAATCGGCTACTTTTGACTCAAGGAAAGAGAGGGTTCCCACGTATGGATAGGATGAGCTGTTCCTCCCGTGCCTAACCCAGTTCCCATAAGGATGCCAAGGAGGATGAGGATAGACATTGGCTCAGTTCTACAGGGGTGGGATACAAAAAGACTGGGTTTCTACTTGAGTGCCTGTTACACCCTGTGTTAGGGGTGTGAGGGCTGGTGAGTTGGGAAAGTGCTGATCAGGAACTAGGTACACGAGGGCGCAGTGCCCCTTCCAAGTGGGGGGTGAACCACAGAGGAAGTAGGTTCGAGAGTTGGGCTCCATGCAGGGCCATATGGTCAGTTGTCCCGGTGTAAGCAAAAATCCTAGGTATGGGACAGATTGTTGGTTAAGATGGGCTTTGGATGGGCGCCTGGGTGGCTCAGATGGTTGAGCGTCTGCCTTCGGCTCAGGTCATGATCCCAGCGTCCTGGGATCGAGTCCCGCATTGGGCTCCCTGCTCCTTGGGAGCCTGCTTCTCCCTCTGCCTCTCTCTCTGTCTCTCATGAATAAATAAATAAAATCTTTAAAAAAAAAAAAAAGATGGGCTTTGGAGAGGGAGACTCTATAACCTTTGTTGTTTAGGAAGGTGAGGATGCTGATGGTGTCAGAAATAGAAGTGGGCCCAGCAGGGCTGAAAAGGAGGTCATCCACAGGTTGGAGAGGGGTACTATTTGGGATGGAGAGGTGGGAAAGATCTGATGCCAGAGCTGGTCCACAGAGGTGGGGGCTATCCCTAAGACCCCGTGGGAGAGGTGTCCAAGTTAACTGTGTTGGGCTAAGGCGAAAAGGTCTTGGGATTCTGGGGAGATGGGAATAGTGAAAAATGAGTCTTTAAGATCTAAGACACTGAAGTACATGGTGGAGGGTGGAATGGCGGAGAGAGGGGTGTCTGGCTTGGGGAGGACTGCCTCATTGGTAATTCTGAGATCCTGAACTAATCTATAAGAACCGTCTGGCTTTTTGCCGGGAAGGATTGGAGTATTGTAGAGAGTTAGTAGGCTTTAATACATTTGAGGAAAGGAATTTGGAAATGAGGGACTGCAAGCCTCTTAAGGCCTCAGGTTTGAGAGGATATTGGGGTTTGGAAGGGAAAAAAGTAGGATCCTTGAGGTATATGGTGATGGGGGTGAGGTGAGTAGCCTTAACTGGTTTGGAGGTGTCCCATATGGACGAGGGACCTGGAGTCAAAACTGGAAAGAGTGAAGTGGGAGCAGGGTGTGTAGGTTCAGTAAGGAGTCCCAGGAATTGGGATTGGGGGTGTACGGGGTGCAGATGAAAGCGAGTCCCTAGGTTGGTCACAATGTCTTGTCCTGGCAGGGGGAGAGGACAGCGTGGCAGAACAAGAAAGAGATGGCTAAAGATTTGATCTTCCAGGGCACATGACAAGAGTTGGGTAGCTGAAGAAAGAACGCCATCAACCCCAACAACAGAGATGGGGGAGGGAAGAGAGGGTCCTGAAAATCCAGGGAGATCCTGGGGTGTGTCACTCCGTATCCTGAAGTCCCAAGAGATCAGCCACCAGGGATATGGCTGATCCTCTCTCCTATTTGGGCCCTGAGGACAGGTTTTGGGAGATGCCCTCCCCCCACTTTGAGGATGGGGTCGTCACTCTTCCGGCGGCCAACCTGCTTACAGGAGGGGCAAGAGGTTTTGGGTGGCCCTTTTTTGTTTTTGTTTTTTTATTGGGACACTGTTTGGACCAGTGACCAGGCTTACTGCAAGCGTAACAAGCTCCTGCAGGGGGTTTGTTGAATGTTTGGGTCAAGCCAGCACGGTAAGACTTTTCTAGAATTGCTCCAGTGAGGGCAGTAGCCAGGAGCTGATAAACCTGAGATCGTTTTTTGATATTTTTCTCTTTTCCTCTTTGATTTCCTCCTCTCTGCTGTTAAAAAACCTTGAAGGCCGGGTCTAGTACTTCGGATTGATGGTTTTGTGGGCTTTATCCAGTTTTTGAAGGTTTTTTTTTTTTTTTTTCCCTAATGTCTGGGGCTGGCTGGGAGATACAATGCAGAGCCAGGATCGATTTTCCTGCATGAGAGTTAGGATCAAGGTCGGTGAGTTTTTGAAGAGTCTCAGTGGGGCGCGCGGGTGGCTCAGTCGTTAAGTGTCTGCCTTCGGCTCAGGTCATGATCTCAGGGTCCTGGGATCGAGCCCTGCATCGAGCCCCGCATCGGGCTCCCTGCTCAGCGAGGAGCCTGCTTCTCCCTCTCCCACTCCGCCTGCTTGTGTTCCCTCTCTTGCTGTGTCTCTCTCTGTCAAATAAATAAAATCTTTTAAAAAAAAAAAAAGAAGAGTCTCAGTGAGGCGAGTGAGGAAAAGGGCAGGGTTTTTATCTGATCTTTGGGTGATCTCCCTTCACCTTTCCTAATTGACCTGTTTAGAAGCTGCCCATTTCATGCCTTCTAGAAGATGGGGACCATGTGGTTGAGTTTGACCTTGTCTCCAGAGGAGGGGTGGTTAATTCCAAGTGGGCTCGGCCAAGGGGACGGCCGCATTGCTGGGAGCTCGTTGTGCAGGCTGTCTGCAGCTCAGATCATCAGCACATTCAGTAGCCTGGGGCCAAATTCTGTTTCTTTCCTCTGGGATGGTACAGGTGGAGAGATTAACATATAGGTCCCTCCACGATAAATCAGAGGGAAGGGTGAGATACTCAGATTCCTTAGTGAACCTGGAGGGATGGGTTGAAAAAGAGCGAAGCTTAGATTTTATAAGAGAAAGATCTGGCGTGCAGGAGGGAATGTGAACCCGAACCACGCCCCCTGCTCCAGCCACTTCGCCAAGAGGGAATTGGGAGCATTGGGAGGTTGGTAAGGGTGGCCAGAGGGCGTGTGGGCGGGAGAAGGATCTGAGGACGTGCAGACAAGGGCTGAAGGCGGGGAAGGGGTGCTGAAGGGTCTTGAGGGGAAGGAGGGGGGGCTGTGGAGGAGCCAAGGAAGGATCACCTGCGGGTGGGTGGAAAGGCGGAGGTCGGTCAGCAGAGTTGAAGTCTGAGTGGGGAGACCTGGGGAGAGGGAGAGGGGTCTTTGGGGAGATAGAAAGAGTATAGGGCAAGTAGTGGGAAGCTCAGGATGATGGGCAA